CTTACTCTCATACTCTATTTTCCCTCTCTTAATCAATCCCCTTATCTTCCTTTCCAAAAATCTAAACTGCTCCCAATTAGAAGGCCTACTCCTATTTTATGCCAATTTACATGCCCATTCCTTGGATCTAATACTATCCCTAATTTCACCTGTTAGACACGGTCAGGCTATCTTTCCCGATTTGTTTTTATTTTTAATCAATCATAGGGGGAATAGATAGACTTTTCTGTTGCTGTAAATGAGACTCCAGGATGGTATGTTGCCTCCCAGGCGCTAGGGTCAAGGATGTCTTGGAATGGTTACAGGACATTCCAGAGTCAGAGGATGAACAGTCGGTAGTCATGGTATACTTTGGTACTAACAACAAAAGTAGAAAAAGGGATGGGGATCCTAAAAGCAGAAAATAGGGAGCTTGGAAGCAAGTTTTAAAAGTACAACCTCAGAAGGTAGTAGTCTAAAAATTGCGTCCTTAGCCACATACTAGTTAGAGTAGAAATAACAGGGTATATCAGACGAATATGTGACTGAATAGATGGTGTGAAACGTGACCAGGGATGGGAACTGAATATCTAGGAGGTATTCAGTTTTAGGAAGGACAGAGAGGAAAAAGAGGTAGGGTTGCATTGCTGCTTAAAACAGGACGCCAACAGAATAGTTAGGAAGGGCATGAGCTCCGGTGAAGTGGAATTTGGAATAGTGGGAAGGCTTTAAACAGGAAAATATATCGTATTACTGTAACCTTCCCGCACTTATTCCTCCTCGTCCAGGTAGCAGAGCCAAGCTTGGTGCAATGAATTTGCTGCTACCACTCTCCTCAGACACCATTTGCCCCCAACAGTATCCAAAGTGGTATATCTTGTTTTGCAGGGGAATGGACACAGGGATTCATGTACTGCCTGTCTAGTCCTCTTTCTCTGCCTGTTGGTCAGCCATTCCCTACCTGCTTGTGCAGTCTTAGCCTGCAGAATGAGCACCTCTCTCTACGTGCTATCCATGATATTCTCAGCCTCACCAATGCTCCACACTGCTCCTAGCTGCCTCTCCAGTTCAAACTCGGGCTTCCAAGAGCTGTAGCTGGAGAGACTTCATGCATACATTCTGGTCCCTGGCATTGGAACTGTGTCCAACTTCCAATATGGAGCAGGAGGACCACACTACAGCCTTGAACTCTCGTATAAGCTAAACCATTAAATTGCACTAAAAATCAAATAATATTAAATACTCTAGGGCACTATTCCCTTATAACTATAAACCCAAAATAAACACCTTACAAACAATAAGCAGTAAAAATTGTATCAATACTCACCCAATCAGCTGCTTTCTCTTGCCCCGTGTCACTTTTTTGACACTCTTCCCAGACTACTTCACTGCGATGCTGACTGTGGGGCACTCTTCCCAGACTCATCCCCTAATGGAGCATTTACATTGGGGTAACAGAAATAGTGATAAAATTAGGTCAGAATTCAACCTTCCCATTTTTTATTTAAGCTCCTGTACCTTTAACATTCAAGTCCACAAGGATTGAAACACCTTAAAAGGAGACCTTCAACCCTTACAAGTTAAACTACACTGCAATCTCTACATCACTTTACCAAAGTACTCTCACAAACACTGAAAACACCAAACACCATCTAACTGCTGCAACTCAAAGTATAAGATAACTAAATACAATCTTCCTCTGAAAACAAACTCATTTCAAAACCTTTATTTCCAAAAACAAAGTCGGTTAAATTTGTTCGTGTTAACATAGCTGGCAAAGTTCAAACAGAAGCTGCTTAAAAAAAAAACTCAGAATTATTTTCAAAAGCAAGTTCTGAAACCATTCTGCAATTCACTTGATGAATTCAGTACTCCTAATGCTCTGAACTTCAAATGAAACTGATTTGTCCTGAGGTACGAAGTACAGGGTGGCTTTTTTTCCTCATTTCAAAATGAGTTTGGTTGGGTCAAAGAGAGGGTGCACAATTGTGTGCAATCTCGGATTGATAATATAACTCATCAGCATCTGGGAAACGTGCATTTTAAATACCTGCTTACCAGAAGCACTGAATATTTAAACACTGTTGCATGCTACAGGGAAATTATCTTTTTATATAGAAAGTTCAGGTGCTAAGAATTTGCCATAGCAAATACAATCAGGTCCATTGCCATCTGTTTCAGAGATGTGTCATAACATCGCTGAATAGGACGATTAGAAAATATCTATAATCAGCTCCAAGTACTCTTGTAGCAAGTGGTAATGTCCCTATCTTTTGAGTGGAAGGCCTGTGTTCAAGTCCCACCTGCTCCTATGATGTGTAGTGATGACTCTGAACAAGTTGATTAGAAAATATCACAATTAAGCTTTATCACTGCTGAATAAACTTTCGTGGGGAGTTGTACAGAAGTTCTGCATTTGAAAATGGTCTAAAATGAATCACATCCAATGCCCTGAAATCTAGCCGTAAAGTAAAAATTTTCAGCATCAACAGCAGCACATCTTAAATAAAACTTTTTAAACATAAAAATTACAACCTTTAATTGAAACAAAGGCAGAAAATGCTGGAGAAACTCAAATCTGGCAGTATCTCTGAAGAGAGAGAAACAGAGTTAATAGTTTGAATCTGATATGATCTTTCTTCGGAGGATTCTGAAGACGTCATTTATGACTTGAAACATTAACTCGGTTTTTCACTCTGCATTTGCCGTCAGACCTGAGTTTCTCCAGCATCCTGTGTTTACTTCAGATTTCCCGCATCCACAGGATTTTGCTTTTATTCAACATTTTTTAGCTGATTAGCTAAGCAACTTTTCCTAAAATCTGACTGGTAGCCTGCACCGTCACAGTACAAACACACTCAATTGACTCAAACACAGAAAAGAAATATGCAATATAAACACCTGACTTGCTGGCAACAAGGGCAGGAAGGGGAGGTCAGAATCCCTTTGAGGTGGATCTGGAGATCAGAAGACTCAGGTAGGGTGAAGGCATTTGTGAATGAGGTATTAATGAATCAGGCATATGTTAGACAGTAGAAGACACTTAGCCACTGATCCTGTGACTGTATACTTGAAGTTTCAAACAGTGATTTTCTTTACAAAAAAAGCATGCAAATTCATTATAAGTTGCAAACCCAGCTCCATGGAGCAGATTATCTGCCTTGTTCCCTCTCACTGCCTATATCACACTTACATTGAAATCTGAAGTGGGTAAATTGAAGGCAGATTGGGATTTGGAATTTTAACACCAATCCCACATTTTGGGGACATTGGGGTTACAATTATGTACTAAATTGGAACCCCCCAACAGTCCATGTGTGTTTGCTGGAGTTGCCTCTGCAATAATCAGCAGTAAATTCTTCAGGTGCTACACTACCTTAGTTTAAAAAAAAGCAACCTAATTTGCATTACAGCCACCCCTCAAATTACAAACAGCAGAATTCTAAAATTCCTCCGACTTTTCCATCAGTGTGTAATATTCAAACATTTTTCTACCTCTCACCCAGTTTATAGATTTTCAGTGGAAAAGTAAGGAGCTGTTACATCTGAGCTCAGAGTTATTATTAGGTTGTGCTGGCTTTGTTCAACACAATTCACTTGAAAAATTCACCAAATAATCAAGGGATTTCGATCACAAAAAACATAATAGTCCAAAGTGAGTTTCTATGATTTTTTTTGTACTAGTTTAATTAAAACAAACATTCTGCTAAGAACAGGGACATTCTCAAAATTGGCTGTGAGATCTAATCAATCAGCATGGTATGTTTCAATTAATTGTTCCTGTCTGCATGCCTTCAAGAAAGCTCCTAAAAACTGTTAATTTATTAAAATGGTCACCAACATGCATCTTTTTTTTCATTGTTGCAGCTTCTGTTCGTCTTGGCATTATCACAATGGTGGTTGAGCACCATCTTCATTTCCTCCCGTCAGTTACCCTGTATTCTTCCAATACATTGCTTTTAATTCTCTCATCACCACATCTTATCATCTGGCCTTCAGGCCTGCTTGTCCTCCTCCTTCCTGGCAGTCCTGCCTCACTCACCTCATGTACCATCTTTCTCAACAAACACCCCATTAACATTTCAAACTCTTCTCAGCTCATTTCTTCAATTTTTCATTATCTTCTGTTTTAGGTGCATTGGTGCAAGAGGAAGGAGCTCAGGCCTGATTCTTCGTGCAATCCAAATCTGGCTGTGAAATCAGGTTACTCATAGGTGGTAGACTTGGCACAGATTTTAAAAAACAATTTTTGTTATCATGTGAAAAATTGTCAAGCTGCTGCTGGTTAAAGAATGCATTTTTATAACATACTTTACCTGTCACTGTTTTATTTTGCCACAATAAATAAACTCCATTGTTCATTCCAATGATGGAAGTCATTTTTAAATAAGTCCAACTTTCTTTGCAGACACAGCATGAACATAAAGAAAATCAAAGCACTTCACTACAATGTGAACAATGCAACATTACAGGTGATCACTATTGAAATGCATGAACTGATAGAAGTTAAGGTTGCCTTTACCAACAATAAAGAGTGAAGAGAACATTCACTGATAGTTGTGTGTTACTGAAAGTCACCTGAGAAAAGTCTCATTACTCATTGTGCAAGATCTCAAGAGCCTCTAACTGCCTAAAATACACTGATGTGCAAATATTTCTGGCTCCAGTTTTAATTCAAATTTCATAATTCCCATGTTGCATTCAATGAGATATTAATTAAACATATTCAACCTGGCCAAATATATAAAAGCAGAGCCACCACAAGCCAGGTGAAAGAATAGAGGTTTGGGGAGACCAATCCAGTGCAACTCTAAAATGCTCCAAAAACTGATCAGTGATCCAAAATGTGGGTGCACAGGAATTACTATTGGTAGTATTTTTCCTCCATTTTAAAACACATCGTTTCCAGAGGTGGAAGTTTATTAACCTGTTGCTAAGCCTCTGCCAGTACTGCACACATGCACAAGTTTCCAAAACGACTTGATTCCGAATTAACTGTGGCAGAAAGTACCAAGACTGGCAATCAGCAAGAAATGAGACTGCTCCATAGCAGACTTTTACATAAATATTTGACCAGGCTCATTCACAGTTAAAAATGAGCAAAGTCACTTGTGTGCAACTTTCATAACTTAAATCTGTAAAAGAATTTCAAGCACCACAGATGCATTCAATTACAGTAAATTTTACAATAAAAACCAGGTTTTGCCTTTTCCAAATACTTGGCACAGCAGGAATCTGCAATGCACCACAAATATACTAAATGATGAAATGAAGACATGAAGTCAACAGTTGTCTGGCTGAGAAATGATTAAACAACACAGATGATGGGCATCATCACCTCCCAATGCTTTAAATCAGCATGCTACAAACAAGGGTGGGTTATTCTCATAAGGCAATTTGAAGGAAGTGAACTACAACGTAAGAAAATAATTGCATGCTACATAGTGGATTGCATTTCCTTATTTGGATGAGCTTGTAACATCTTCCCAACCTAAGAATCTTAACTTACTAAGGTACTAATTTACATGCAAGTTTTCAACATGAAAGAAGCATTTATTAAAAAATTCAAACCAGCAACTTGGGGGTAAGCTAGTTATTCACAGTGCAAGGCATAACAGGAACTTAATTTCTGAGCTATGCATGCCTCGTGCACAAAATATTATGAGCATGCTAAGCAATTAAAATGATTACATTTCATTCAAAATCTGAAAAAAATGCAAATACAGTAGTCTCTAAGCTTGATTTGGAGAAGAGTTCATTTTAAGCTTCTTCCACAACTCATCCAGCAATTTAATAATAAATTTATCTGACGAAGAAATTCGGTCAAAAGCCTTAAAAACGCATTCTGAGCAATTTTGCTGATACCATGCCTGTCCCTCTGAACGTTCCAAAATAAAACTGTTTCAATGATTTGTTTGAATTAACATTTTGCAAGTTCATCAATTCAAATCATCTGGACTCCAACCAAGAATAACTGATGCATTTCTTAAGGTATAAGAAAATACCAATATATAGTGCATTGACGCAGATAGAAGCACATTTATTGAAGTATACGACAGTTTAGAACTAACAAATGCATTAGGTTCAAATCACAAGTTTCATCAAAAAGTAAAATCATCATATATCTATGTGATATGGTGCATCATTTTGAGCCAAGCTGTAGAAATATCAGGGGGAGGTGGGGATGAATGAGGTTGCTGCATTCTCACATCTTATTGTGCCCCCGCATACCTGTGCTAAATCTTTCAAAGAGTTATACAAGTAGTTGCTTTGCCCATGCCCCTGCATTTTTTTCCCCAAATTGAACAAAACTGGCAAAATTCTGAAAGCATCCTCCTCTTACATGCAGTTGGTTTTCTTTCCTCAGTCATGCATTTGGTACATCAAGGGCATACACTGGAAAACTAAGGAGATGCCTAATAACTTGCA